TTGTATTTTGTCCTGTAGTTCATTCAATGTAATTGGAGAATCCAGTGGGTTCTGGTAGTCTTTAATAGTTGATTCTAAAATGTGTATTTGATCATGTACTGTATATGTTTTTGTTATAGAGCCAAAAAGATTGGAGAAGTGGTTTATCCATACATCTCTGTTTTGGATAGATAACTATTCGTGTTGTTGTTTGTTTAGTGCGTTCCAATTTTTCCAGAAGTGGTTAGATTATATGGATTCTTCAATTACATTGAGCTGATTTCTGACGTGCTGTTCCTTCTTTTGCTGTAGTGCATTTCTGTATTGTTTTAGTGATTCACCATAGTGAAGGCGTAGTAGGGTCAGGCTTTCTGGGTCGCTATGTTTTTGGTTGGATAGGTTTCGCAATTTCTTTCTTAGGTTTTTGCATTCTTTAAACCATTTGTCAATGTTGTTCATTTTCTTAGGTTGTCTGCTTGGAATTTTTAGATTTGATAGGGAAGCTGAGAGGTCAAATATACTGTTTAGGTTTTCTACTGCCAAGTTTACACCTTCACTATTACAGTGAAATGTTTTGTCCAGGAAGTTGTCTAAAAGGGATTGAATTTCTTGTTGCCTAATTTATTTTTGGTAGGTTTCTACACTATTTTCCTTCCATCTATAACATTTCTTAATATTATGCATTTCCTTTGGCTTTGATGCCTGATGATTGATTATTGCTCTGTTCAAGGAGACTGTGATTTTGCTGTAATCTGATAGGGGTGTCAGTGGGCTGACTGTGAACGCTCTGAGAGACTAAAGTAATTTACAGTACTACTGCCAAGGGATGAGCTGTAGGTGTACCTACCGTAAGAGTCCCCTCGAAGCCTACCATTGACTGTGTACAGACCCAGTGTGCGATAGAGCTTCAGGATTTGCAACCCATTTTTGTTGGTTGTTTTGTCATAGTTGTATCTAGGGGGGCATATTTGGGAGGGAATGCTGTCACCTCCAGGTAGGAGTTTGTCCCCCTGTGTGCTTTTAGGTCGCCACAGACCAGTACATGTCCCTGGGCCTGGAAATGGTTGATCTCCCCCTCTAGAATGGAGAAGTTGTCTCATTAAAGTATGGGTATTCTATTGGGGGGATATAGGTAGCACACGAGGACATTTTTCTCTGTTGAGATAATTTCCTAATTAATTTCTAGCCAGATGTAAAATGTTCCTGTTTTGACTAATTTAATAGAGTGGGTTAGGTCTGCTCTATACCAAATTAGCATACCCACTGAGTCTCTTCCCTGTCACACCTGGTAGTTTGGTGGATGGGACTACCAGCTCTCTGTAACCTAGAGGGCAACCAGTGGGTCTGTCTCCTCTATACCATGTTTCTTGTAGGATGACAATGTCACATAGGTCTGATCTGGGGGGCCTATATAGGGTGTGGCCAGGCTGTATAGGCTGAGAAATAGGAGGACATTTGTTTTTGGGGACTGCAGTCTCATTTCCAATGTCACATCAGATTGTTTTTGCCCTTTACAGGCTGTTTGACTGTGGCAATAATTTATTCATTGACTACAGCTCAGCATTCAACACCATAGTGCCCTCTAAGCTCATCACTAAGCTAAGGATCCTGGGACTAAACACCTCCCTCTGCAACTGGATCCTGGACTTCCTGACGGGCCGCCCCCAGGTGGTAAGGGTATGTAACAACACATCTGCCACACTGATCCTCAACACGGGGGCCCCTCAGGGGTGCGTGCTCAGTCCCCTCCTGTACTCTCTGTTCACCCATGACTGCAAGGCCAGGCACGACTCCAACACCATCATTAAGTTTGCCGACGAGTGGTAGGCCTGATCACCGACAACGATGAGACAGCCTATAGGGAGGAGGTCAGAGACCTGGCCGTGTGGTGCCAGGACAACAACCTCTCCCTCAATGTGACCAAGACAAAGGAGATGATTGTGGACTACAGGAAAAAAAAGAGGACTGAGCACGCCCCCATTCTCATCGACGGGGCTGTAGTGGAACAGGTTGAGAGCTTCAAGTTCCTTGGTGTCCACATCACCAACGAACTATCATGGTCCAAACACACCAAGACAGTCGTGAAGAGGGCACGACAAAGCCTATTCCCCCTCAGGAGACTGAAAAGATTTGGCATGGGTCCTCAGATCCTCAAAGAATTCTACAGCTGCACCATCGAGAGCATCCTGACTGGTTGCATCACCGCCTGGTATGGCAACTGCTTGGCCTCCGACCGCAAGGCACTACAGAGGGTAGTGCGTACGGCCCAGTACATCACTGGGGCCAAGCTTCCTGCCATCCAGGACCTCTATACCAGGCGGTGTCAGAGGAAGGCCCTCAAAATTGTAAAAGACTCCAGCCACCCTAGTCATAGACTGTTCTCTCTGCTACCGCACGGCAAGCGGTACCGGAGTGCCAAGTCTAGGTCCAAAAGACTTCTCAACAGCTTCTACCCCCAAGCCATAAGACTCCTGAACAGCTAATCATGGCTACCCGGACTATTTGCACTGCCCCCCCACCCCATCCTTTTTACGCTGCTGCTACTCTGTTAATTATTTATGCATAGTCACTTTAACTCTACCCACATGTACATATTACCTCAACTAGCCGGTGCCCCCGCACATTGACTCTGCAACGGTACCCCCCTGTATATATAGCCTCCCTACTGTTATTTTATTTTACTTCTGCTCTTTTTTTTCTCAACACTTTTTTTGTTGTTGTTTTATTTTTACTTTTTTGTTTAAAATAAATGCACTGTTGGTTAAGGGCTGTAAGTAAGCATTTCACTGTGATGTCTGCACCTGTTGTATTCGGCGCATGTGACCAATAAAATTTGATTTGATTTGATTTGATCACTCATCCAACACAATTCATAACATTCATTGACCATATAAAAACCATAGGCTTTTCATTGCCTTGCCCTGTTTGGTGGAATTGTTTATCTGAACATTCTAATTCAAAAGTCACCCATGTAGCCAGTTGAGCACAAGCTCAGCAAGAAGCATGAAGTAAATTTCATCCCCAAAATGTAATAGGAATACAACAGATGACGGGGGTTGCATAATCATAAGGAAAACGGTGAGAGATAGTGGTCTAATCCAGGGGTTCCCAAACATTTTCACTCGGGCCCCCATTCCAGCATTGGGGAACATTGGGGAACGTTTCAAGCCGGACTGAGTTCCTAAAATACAAATACATTATAAAAACCCTAGCGCCCCACAGTTTGGGAACTCTGGTCTAATCAATATCACATGCATATAGCGCCATCCTGAGGATATGTCTGGTAAAATTAAAAAGCAGAACAATGTTTATTTGTTTATAATTCCCAGTAATTAAGCCTAATCAAAATGTAGCTAACCTATTCTGGTTTTATAGAGCAACATTCTGAGGTTTAGGCTTCAGGTCTTTACACCAGATCACATTTCAAGTAGCCTAGCTGTGATATAGACCTTGCAGCATCAAGAGAAAACAAAATTCAGAAATTCATAGAATTAACCACATCAACACTTATGCCATTAGCCTAATAATGAAACAATTATGACAGAGTTAGTTAGCAGGACAATAACTTCAGGTAGGTCTGCCCTACACTGTAATTCAAGAGCTATTTCAACGTTTCATGTATTTTCCACACTTTTGACAGTTGTTCTTGTAATATTTTAGATAAAAAATATATATATGCGTTGGAACGATACTTTTCTTTGTATCCAGGAAGTGACCTCAGGACGTACTCGTGAGGATTTTCTGGGGTCGAAACAAGCCGACGAGGAGGTCGTTCCTACGAAGAAGTTTGCAGGAAAAAAGGTGGTCCCACTCATAAACACCGTCTTATGAAGCGAACGACTGAGCGCTTCTATCTGCTTTTTTTTGCCACCGTGTTGTTGCCTTTACGCGCAAAATGAAGCCCTAAACTTGTTGCAATTTACTTGAAACGTAAGGGAGCAGTATGCCGTTTTATCATCTGGATTCAACTTTGAAAAATCCGAACCAAAAAAATAGAGAACAGCTGAGAGTGGGGTGAGGAGGAGGTTGGCTTTGGCAAGTTGTGGACTCCTGCCTTGTTACTCCCGCGGTCGTATGTTGCTAACTAGCTTGCTAATTAGCTAACTTGGATATAAGGACCTAAGGTGAGATTTTATGTTGTTTTGATGTTTCAGAGTCCAGAATAAGATTACATGTACTTTTTTATTTTTTATTTTTTTATATAACATTCAATCAAGATTAAATGTAATGGCCTGGAACTTTATCTTGCTAATTGTTTCAAATCCCAACCACAAACTTTCAGACAACTTTTAGGCCTATACTTTTAGTTCATGCTACAGAGGAATGCTAGGCTACTATCGGCATTTAGGTTTGCTACAATCATCATGGCCGACAAAGTAATTTTGCTGGCTACATCCACCAAATGATACAATGTTGTCGTAAGCTGCACAATGTATCATTTTCTCAATTGTGGATACATTATATATTTCATACATGGCGGCTGTTGCCAATACCACTATTTTCCTCGTTTACAAGGTCAGTATAAGATGGGATGGGGGGTCTGAACCGTTATTTAGCCTTATGTCAACACATGCATACTTTCTTATAGGCAATCTTGGTAGGCCCGATTATACAACGTTTACCAGACAGCCCAGTGTTGATTCTACTAACATAATTATTGATTTTATTTTGTATAGTCAACACTTCTCAGTTGAGGTAGAACATGTGATACATTGCCACAGCATTGCAAATAGGCCTATATGGACTTTTGTTGGTGTTGATCTTGGAATAGAACAGTGATTTATTTTAAATGTATAATTGTTAACGCTGTATTCTTTCTTTCAGTCTACTACAGTGTGGAGAAGTATTTTCTGAGTGGTCTGCCACAGTGATTGCCATTGATAAAGTTGGTTCAGTGGGCCACTGCAGCATTTCCTCAAGAACATTGGCAGCCTGCTGTGGCTTGATGCTTTTCAGTGCTTGGATGTTGTGTGGGCGATAAGGATGTCCTGCTGCTCCCAGCGGGACAGGATTGTGATGTGATGGGGTGCAGGACGAGCAAGGTCCTCCCTGAGCCACCTGGAGATGTCCAGCTAGACTTGGTCAAAAAGGTGGAGCCCCCCCAGACCGACATCTACAAACATTTCATCCGAGGCGACGGCAGTGGGAGTAAAATGAGAGGTGAGAAAACAGGCTCTCCCTCACCCCAGGCCCAGGCACCCCCAGATACAGGCCAACCAGAGGCCTCTGACCCACGCAGAAACAAGGTAGCCAAGTACCGAGCTAAGTTTGACCCACGGGTCACAGCCAAATATGACATTAAGGCGCTGATAGGCCGAGGTAGCTTCAGTCGGGTGGTGCGAGTGGAGCACAAGAGCACGCGGCAGCCCTACGCCATCAAGATGATAGAGACGCGCTATAGAGAGGGACGTGAGGTATGTGAGTCAGAGCTGTGTGTCCTGCGGCGTGTACGCCACACCAACATCATCCAGCTGATGGAGGTGTTTGAGACAGCTGAGAGAGTATACATGGTGATGGAGCTGGCTACAGGGGGAGAGCTTTTTGACCGTATCATCGCCCGTGGCTCTTTCACAGAGCGTGATGCTACACGCGTCCTACAGATGGTACTGGACGGGGTCAAGTATCTACATACACTTGGCATCACCCACCGTGACCTCAAGCCTGAGAACCTGCTCTACTATCACCCCGGAGCGGACTCTAAGATTATGATCACTGACTTTGGGCTGGCCAGCACTCGTAAAAAAGGTGATGAATGCTTGATGAAGACCACTTGTGGGACACCAGAGTACATTGCCCCAGAGATCCTGGTACGAAAGCCATACACTAATGCTGTGGACATGTGGGCTCTGGGGGTCATCTCCTACATTCTGCTAAGTGGCACCATGCCCTTTGAGGATGATAACCGCATGCGCCTCTACCGTCAGATCCTCAAGGGGAAGTACAGCTTTTCTGGGGAGGTAAGCACATATGACTTTACACCCTCTTCATCCATTTATTTTCTGTTTCTTACTAATTTGTTGACTCAGGAGTGTCAACTTATGTAAATAAGATATTACTGTATTTCATTTTCAGTAGATTTACAAACATTTCTAAAAACATGTTTTCACTTTGTCATTATCGGTATTGTTTGTAGATGGGTGAGAGAAAAAAAATGAATACTTTCTGAAGGCACTGTAGATTTTAAAACAAATTTTTGAGTAGATTGTTTTGGAGTAGTGGACTCTACACATGATGGTAATTATCAGAAATACCTTCAGCATCATGTCGGCGTGGGGATGTAACATCTGTAAGCTGTGTATGTGTCATGTATGTTAAGCTCATATGAGATTTATCTGTGGGTCTAAAAAACAGTATATTGGGTGTCTGCTGGGTGATTGGAAATGCAGCAGTTTACAGTTCAGGGGGTGGAACATCTAGGGCTGCGGCGGTCATGACATTTTGTTAGCCGGTTATTGTCATGCAAAAGACTGCCGGTCTCAAGGTAATTGACTGTTAATTAACATAAACACATTTAGCATCCCCAGGCCTCCACGCATACAAGCCGCATACAAGCTGCTGATGCGCACCTTTTGGAACATCTACATTTAAAAAAGTCTAATAAATCAATTGAATATACACCATCACAATAAAAACATTTATTTTAGGCCGGGCTAAAGAAACATGATATGACGAAAAATGTATTTCAGAAGAACAGTTGCCTACTGTATGTTATCTGGCTATCCGCCATGCCATAGGCTTTAGGCTAGTTCATTTTGCAGACAAGATATGCTTTAAGTCCCACGCCATTATTTTATATTATTTTATAGGAAGAAGAATATAATTTAGCTAAATAAAATAGAAGGGATATTTTTCCCAATTCCGGAGCGAGTGCGCATATGAAGTGGCTGTGTTGAGCATAAAAGTGATCATTTGAAACAGGTCCTATATGTTCGATTTTAAGATATAACATATTTAATTAAACTGTTGATAGCCCCTCTCACTGTGTGCTCGAGAAAGGAATGAAGGAGAGAGGGGTGAAGATGGAAACGCAAGTTGGTAATGTCAGCCTATTAATTATGAACATTTTAAAAACTCCCTATTACTAGGCTATTCAAAATCAAATACAAATTCACTAATTGTAGACTAACTCTGTAATTATGTACCGAAGACATCTTAAATTAGTTTTTCTTTTCCTGCCATGCATAATATGCGGTAGGCTATGTATTGTATACGCACAGTCATTATTTTAATTCAGGGTTTTTTTTCGGGCTTGGGCTCATATATAGGCCTATTCGTTTTGAATTCATCCTCACCTTAGAAAGCGTTGCGTTAGGCTTTGAAACATCCACAAAGACCATGTTTTCCACTCAGTTTCAACCTGTTGTTGAACTTCTTTCTTCAAATTGATGAGTCACAGTTAGGTACGTTTTAAAACCACATACTGTTTTGATGATAAGTGTTTGATGTGATTTTTGATTGAATTTGCATTGACGTCATAGTGGTTAGAGGGACAATAGAGCCCCGAGTACCAGGCCATTAGCGACCTGATGATTGTTTAGCGAGTTGAGTACTACCAACGCATGTCCAGAGTGCATAAAATGAGATTACCGTGACTCAACGGTCACATGTCATTTTACTGCGGTCATGACTCATGTGGCAGTAATATGGTCACTGCAACAGCCCTAGTAACATCTGACTGAGGTAGAAACAAGTGTTCAGTAGGGCACTTGAGTGTGCTTAGTGGTCAAGAACTCGAATGAAAATGAAGAGGATTTTGACTCCGCTGTAGTAAAGACAGATTCCTCATATTTACAAAGCTACCCAATCATGCCAAAAGAGTTGAGGAACACCTGAATCCTTGCAGAGAATCAAAAGGTAAGTTAAAAACAACTAAAAGATGTCTCTTTGTTAAATTCATACTGGATGCATTGCAGACAGTTGCTTATGTGTTAGGTTTCATTTTAATCAAAAACGTGTGTCTGTGTTTCTCGACTGGGCGTAATGCTCATGTCTTGTCATCTCTAAACTTCCAACACGACCCCCCTACGTGACTTTGTGACGTAGCCTAAGGCTGGAGTTCCTGGAAGCAACCACAGTATGCTTAATGTGTGTGTGCGTCAGGGCCTTTCTTATACTCTGAATCAGACAGGCTCAGCTTCTCAGTGGGGGTAACATACATGGGTGTAGCTATTTTTCCTTTATAAAGGCCTAATGTTTATGCTGTAGTCTGATGGCAACCACCCCCTGTCGTTTATCACTGGACAGCGCTTTGGATGAGACAAAGACAATCTTGGCCATGTCTTTTCCCTTGGATCCTAGGGTTCTGAAATTGTACTCAATATCTCGTTACCGTATGTTACTCTACAGAAAAATTATTGGCCTTTATGTTCACATTGTGAAGTTAGTACTGCGCTATTAGCGTGTAAGTCGCTCTGGATAAGAGCGTCTGCTAAATGACGTAAATGTAGCCTGTAGGTTTACAGAGCCTTACAGTACAGTAATGTTAAACTGTAGCTGCTTTACACAGTGCTGCCCTCTTGTGTGTATTGGTCATTATAGCCATGTCCCAAAATTGAACTGGTATCAACCAGTGTGCTAGAGAAATGGACTCTCTCTGCTACTTAATTACTTTGATTTGACCCCCCCCCCCCCCCAATAGTGCATTGAAATGTGCAGTTTCTCGACATTTAAACCTCTTTATTTCTCCCTGCTCAGCCATGGCCCAGTGTGTCTAACCTGGCGAAGGACTTCATCGACCGTGTGCTGACTGTTGACCCCAGTGAGAGGTTAACAGCAGGCCAGGCTCTGAAGCACCCCTGGATCGTCAGCATGGCCGCGTCGTCCTCCATGAAGAACCTGCAGCGCTCCATCTCCCAAAACCTCCTGAAGAGGGCCTCGTCACGCTGCCACAGCACCAAGTCTGCCCAGTCCACACGCTCCAGCCGCTCCACCAAGTCCAACAAGGCTCGCCGTGCTCGGGAGAAAGAGCTGCGTGAGCTCAACCGCCGCTACCAACAACAATACAATGGCTGAGTAATAGTTACGTGGGTTGCAATGTTGAAACTCATAATGTTGTGTGTCTCATTGAGACCACAAGCAGGGACTTACCAGCAGCTGCCTGGAACAGCAATTCAGCTCCTAGGCCATAGTGCCACTGAGGCAGCAAGCAAAACATCCTCAGATTTCACCCTTTTTTCCTAGATTCCTATTCCCTAATGTTTCTTTCCTGTCCTTGTGTGTCTCACATATTTATTTATTGTTGTCATGATTATATTGTTTCTGTAGAAATGGTCACTTGAAGCTGTCCATCTAAACGGATCTGTTGAACAAAATTATAGGAATTAAGTTTTAGGAAGGGGTGTTAAAATACTGTTCCTGCACTCGTTCTTGATTATTTGCTGTGAATTTATGTTACAAGAACAGTGGGTTACTTGCTTTGGTGGAGATACTTTTGGTCATGTAGTGTATGTGGACACCTGCTCGTCGAACATCTCATTCCAAAATCATGGGCATTAATATGGAGTTGGTCCCCCCCCTTTCTTCTATAACAGCCTCCACTCTTCTGGGAAGGCTTTCCACTAGATCCACTTTATCCATTCAGCCACAAGAGCATTAGTGAGGTCGGGCACTGATGTTGGGCGATTAGGCCTGGCTCGCAGTCGGCGTTCCAATTCATCCCAAAGGTGATGGATGGGGTTGAGGTCAGGGCACTGTGCAGGCCGGGTCAAGTTCTTCCACACCGATCTCGACAAACCATTTCTGTATTGACCTCGCTTTGTGCACGTGGGCATTGTCATGCTGAAACAGGAAAGGGCCTTCCCCAAACTGTTGCCACAAAGTTGGAAGCACAGAATCATCTAGAATGTCATTGTATGCTGTAGCATTAAGATTTCCCTTTACTGGAACTAAGGGGCCTAGCCCAAACCATGAAAAACATCCCAGACCATTATTCCTCCTCCACCAAACTTTACAGTTGGCACTATGCATTGGGGCAGGTAGCGTTCTCCTGGCATCCACCAAACCCAGATTTGTCCGTTAGACTGTGAGATGGTGAAGCGTGATTCATCACTCCAGAGAACATGTTTCCACTGCTCCAGAGTCCAATGGTGTAGAGCTTTACACCACTCCAGCCGACGCTTGGCATTGGGCATGGTGATCTTAGGCTTGTGTGTGGCTGCTCGGCCATGGAAACCCATCTCATTAAGCTCCTGACGAACAGTTCTTGTGCTGACGTTGCTTTCAGAGGCAGTCTGGAACTCGGTAGTGAGTGTCGCGCTATGCACTTCAGCACTTGGCGGTCCCGTTCTGTGAGCTTGTGTGGCCTACCACTTCGCGGCTGAGCCGTTGTTGCTCCTAGACGTTTCGACTTCACAATAGCAGCACTTACAGTTGACCGGGGCAGCTCTAGCAGGGCAGAAGTTTGACGGTGACTTGTTGGAAAGGTGGCATCCTATGACGGTGCCACGTTGACAGTCATTTAGCTCTTTAGTACGGGCCATTCTACTGCCAATGTTTGTGAATGGAGATTATATGGCTGTGTGTTCGATTTTATATACACCTGTCAGCAATGGGTGTGGCTGAAATAGTCGAATCCAATAATTTGAAGGGGTGTCCACATACTTTTGGTAATGTAGTGTATATATCCTGAGATACGTACAAAAAATACAGTGATACTTTGTGCTAAAACACAAGAATGTCAGTAGCTAGGTTTCCATCCAATTGACGACAGATTTTAATGTGAATATGCCAAAAATCTGCATAAAAACAATATGCACATTTTCCCACCAGAGATGTGTTTCCAGCAAATTGACTTGTTGTGGATAAAAGGCTGTGCGTGATGACGTAGTGCACATATAATTAACTTTTTTGCTGTTCAATTCCTGTAAAAAAATATAAGTAAATGGGTTTCCATCGCATTTTCAAATCTGATGGTTTTGTCACAAAAAAATTGTGTTATATAGCGAATGTGCCCACTCTGGTATTGACACTTGCGCTCTAGCCAACAACTCGCAGATACTGTGCAGGTATAGCCTACATGATGAGATTATTATGGACATCATGTCACCAGAATAAGACCCTCGATATTTATTGGAAAGGAGCCTCAAGCTCATCACTGTGCACTTTCACCACCCTGTGAAGTTCATCATAACTTATTTCATCTGCCTAGTAAACTGCATGCTTTCCCGAGTTATAGTGGGAGGACCATACATGTCATCACGTGACTCCAAGTTTACTTCGATATGATGGTTCTATCAATATTTGTGCATAAAAGCATTTCCACCTCTATTTCTCAGATAATTAATTTTACCGACACAAAAAGATCCCACCTTGTGTAGCGTGTTTTGTCGACATTTGAAAAGTGTACAGAAAAATGTGCTGTTTCCATCAGGCCTGTCGTGACATTTTTTTATCCAGTTGGATGGAAACCTGGTTAATGAAGGCCAAAATAAACATGTATTTATTTAATTTTGGTTTAGAAGTCAAGTATATCCAATATTATTGTATTCTGTCCAGTTGCTTTCATGATTTGAAAATTAAGTATTTTTCTTGCCAGGATTCAGTTTTTGTAACGTGTAAATGTAGGAGTTGTTTCTATTCATTTTGGGATTATTTTTTAACTGTGATCTTGAAAGACTATGGGAGGTTGACTGGAAACTCTAAATAAGGAAAGATGAGCCAGTGCTTTTGCAGAGTTTTCATTGTGGGGACTGATTCGGATCTAACCCTGTCTTGTCTCTGCACTTTCCTGGTCCTGCTACACCGTCTGAGATGGACAGCCCTGTTGTAATGAAGTATACACGTCAAGTGATGTGTAATTTAACAAACTGATGGAGAATCGATCCAATAGGTCGCTAACTGATGGAGAAAACTCCAATATTGGTTGAAGGCTCAGTATTAATTTAATTTGTTATCAAATATTTCTTTCCAATTTGTTCAGAGTAATGCAGGCATGTCATGTTTTTATTGTATTTTTTCCATAATTGTCATTGAACAAACTGTATAGTTAGTTGATTGACAACAATATTTGTGATATTGTGGATGCTTTGCCAGTCATAGAGCTCACAGACAGCTGTTGGGAGAGACCAATTCAAATCTGGCACTTGTTCTCTGTTGTCAAGTCTTTTAATAGTCAAGAATAATTGCCATAAAATGATATGCTTAAAAACAAATCTGGAGTGTTGTGATGACGTATTTTACATTGTTCTTTTAAATAATTAACTTCAATACTTCAAGGTTTTATTATTTTTAGTGTACCTTGTTATAGCCTGTGAATGCACTTATTCTAATTCTATTCAAGTGATGGATCAAGAACCTGATCACATTTACCTGATCGTTTCCAGTTTCTAGCATTTCATTTTGAGGGGTCATTCAAAAGCAATTGTGTGTTAAAAAAAAAAAAAGATTTATACCTCTTTTGGTTATTGTGTTGACAGGCTGTAGGTTTTATGTCTTAATTACAACTGCTCTTGTTAGATACTTTTGTGTTTACCTTTTTGTACTCCCCAACCAGAACCACCCATTGTAAGCAATTGGTATGATGTGGTCATATGTACTTTTAAGTAATTTGCAGTGAGAAGCTGTGGTATTTTGAAGCAAAAGAAATTAAGATACTAGAAAGTCAACAGAGCCGTATCAGCTGACCTCAGTCTCTCTTTTGGTGTTCCTATAATGTTACATTATTCTCTATCTACACTGTTGGTCCTACTGCTGTTATTTGTTTTGTAAATCGTTGCATACACAGTCAAGTGCAGTGGTGTCTTCCCCCCCACATACTTCACTTGGTCACCTGTTGACATAATGGTAACTCAATTTTAAGAGCATCTCTGTTTGTTACATGAAGTGCCTATTGTTATAAATTACATTTGTATTGTTGATGTCATTGATGTTTATGTTTCTGTAAGTAGACACTTTTTTGTTTAACAACTCTGTGTTTGTCATGCAACATACAGTGTATTCGGAAAGTTTTCAGACCCCTTGACTTTTTCCCACATTTTGTTACGTTACAGCCTTATTCTAAAATGGATTAAATACACTTTTTTCCCCTCATCAATCTACACACAAACCCCATAATGACAAAGTGAAAACAGGTTTTTAGAAATGTTTGAAAATGTATGAAAAGTAAAAAACAGAATACATTATTTACATAAGTACTCAGACCCTTTGCTATGACACTCGAAATTGAGCTCAGGTGCATCCTGTTTCCATTCATCATCCTTGATGTTTCTACAAGTTGATTGGAGTCCACCTGTGGTAAATTCAATTGATTGGTCATGATTTGGAAAGGCACACATCTGTCTATACAAGTTCCCACAGTTGACAGTGCATGCCAGAGCAAAAACCAAGCCAAGAGGTTGAAGGAATTGTCCGTAGAGCTCCGAGACATGACTGTGTCGAGGCACAGATCTGGGGAAGGGTACCAAAATATTTTGCAGCATTGAACGTCCCCAAGAACAGAGTGGCCTCCATCATTCTTAAATGGAAGAAGTTTGGAACGACCAAGACTCTTCCTAGAGCTGGCCGCCTGGCCAAACTGAGCAATCGGGAGGGAAGGGCCTTGGTCAGGGAGGTGACTAAGAACCCGATGGTCACTCTGACAGAGCTCCAGAGTTCCTCTGTGGAGATGGGTGAACCTTCCAGAAGGACAACCATCTCTGCAGCACTCCACCAATCAGGCCTTTATGGTAGAGTGGCCAGACGGAAGCCACTCCTCAGTAAAAGGCACATAACAGCCCGCTTGGAGTTTGCCAAAAGGCACCTAAAGGACTCTCAGACCATGAGGAACAAGATTCTCTGGTCTGATGAAACCAAGATTGAACTCTTTAGCCTTAATGCCAAGATTCATGTCTGGAGGAAACCTGGCACCATCCCTACGGTGAAGCATGGTGGTGGCAGCATCATACTGTGGGGATGTTTTTCAGCGGCAGGGACTGGGAGACTAGTCAGGATCGAGGGAAAGATGAACGGAGCTAGAGAGGATCTGCAGAGAAGAATAGGAGAAACTCCCAAATACAGGGGTGCCAAGCTTGTAGCGT